CTATGCCTTTGCTCACACACCCTCCCCATTCTCTTTTCCAATATGAAGCTTACCGATTAGTTAAAAACCAACTGCTTTTTGAAGACTTCCTTTACCAATGATCTTCCACTTCTTTAAACTCCCATAGCACCTAAGTGAAAATTACACAATTAAACTTAACAAGCTTGTGTTGTCATCTTAGTTGTGTTTTTATATCCATGTGCTATTTCCCCAACCACAATCAAAGAGCTCTTTGTGTCACCCACAATGCCTAGAGATGCTCTGCTTAGGGTTGTTACCTACCAAGTGTTTGCTGATTAAGAAGGAGAAAGAGAAGTTCTGAAAGGTAGACCAGGAAAGTGATTTTGACAGGCTCAGTGAAGGAGGGCACATTCAGGACAGCCCAAGAAGCCATGACAGAGGTCAAGGAGTAAGAAGCAGCAGGCAGACTGCTCCCCAAATCCTCAAGCACCTCAAAAGGAGATAAAGTCAGTCCACCAGGTGTTTAACAAGGGGAGAAAACAGCCTATACTTAAGTTATTGAAAAGCTAGGGCATTGCAAGTAGGAGCAAATGTTCACAATTGCTGGAGATAAAACAGGCAAGATGGATAAAGTCAGAACAGGGAGAGGTTATTGAGCACCAATTATATGCTAAGCATTTGACATACACTCTTTTTTGAAAAACATCTTTATTGAGATATAATTCACATACCATGTAATTCACCCATTTAAAGTGTTCAATTCAATGTTCGGGTTTTTTGTTTGTTTTTTGTTGTTGTTGTTGTTGTTTTTAGTGTATCCACAGAGTCGTGCAACCAATAACACAGTCAGTTTTAGAATATTCTCATCACCCCAAAAAGACACACTGTATTTACTAGCAGTCACTTCCTATTTCCCTCACACCATCACCCTCCCACCCTACCTGCAGCCTCAGGCAACAACCAATCAAATTTCTGTGTCTACAGATTTGCCTATTCTGGATATTGCATACACATGGATTCATACAACATGTGGTCTTTCATGACTGACTTCTTTCACTTAGAATAATGATTTCACGGGTAATCTATGTTATAGAATGTATCAGAACTTCATCGTCTTTTAATTGCTAAATAGTAATATTTTCAATTAGCAGTTGGGAATCCGAGCATGTGAAGGGCCAACAATAGTTATATTCGGATTTTCAACTGCACAGGTGTTGGTTCTCCTAACCCCCATTCGAAGGTCAACTGTATTGCAGCGTGTAGATATACGACATTTTATTCATCTATTCATCAGTTGATGAACATTTTGGTTGATTCTAGACATACATTCTTTCATTGATTCTTCCCTGTACTCCTGGGAGGTAGGTGTTAGTGCCCCTATTTCACAGATGAGTAAATTGAGCCTCAGAAGTTAACTAACCCGCCCCTTTGTGTAAATAATGGCACTGAGATTGAACCCAAGTCTGCTTGAGTCCAAACAGATGTTTAATCACCATCTGTTATTTGGCAAAAATCATCAATGGAGGGATGTAGATCATGCCAAATTCCAAGGACTCATAGAGATCATTCATGTTGCCCATCTTTCAAGGAATTTAGCTATAAATTTTAAAATGTGATAGTTGTGTGACATAGCAGAAGGAACTTGAGCTTTAGAGCTAGATGATCTTGAATTTGAATCCCATATAACAAGCTTTGTGATTTGGGGCAGATTGTTTAACTTCTCTGAGCCTCAGATTCTTCATCTATAAAAATGTAAATAAGGCCTATCTTACAGGGTTGTTGTGAGTATTAAATGAGCTGATAAATATACAGTCCTAATGTATAGTAGGTAATAAGAATATGGTAGCTGTTATTATTGTCATTACTGTTTGCACTGGTGTCAAAAGCATGTAAAATACCCTCCTCCCCAACACACACATAGACACTTCCCCCATTGGGAGAAATCTAAAGAGGTCATTTTGGAATATGTAGTAGTGGAAAATCCAGGCAGGAGTCTCCAGTGGTAAGCAGACAGAGATAACAGGCAGGAGCTCAGGTGATAGGTCAAGGCTAGAGAATAGATCTGAGAGTTATCAGCATGACAGTGAAGGTTGAAGCTGTGACAACTATTCAGGTAGAACCAGGCATAAAATAAAGAAATTAGTCCAGTGTCTGACCCCTGGAATGTCCACAATTAAAGTCAGGAGAAGAAATAAGAAGCAATAAAGGATATAGAAATAACTATTTGGAGAGGTTGTGGTTATACTAGGATAGTATCTAATTTTGAAAGCCAAAGGAGAAAATATATTTAAGAAAGGATAAAAGGTAGTAGAGAAAGTTGAGTAGGTTATGTTGGTTATGTTAGAAAGGTTTATAGTAATGAGAACTGAGAGTAGGCCATTATATTGGCAATCAGGAAGTCAATAGTGAACTTAACTGCTGAGCATCCATCCATCCACCTATTCATTTGTTCATTCAGCATTCATCAAACACCTACAGTGAACCAGGCACTGTGATATGCCTGAGAAACACATTGTTAAAACACAATCTCTTGCTGCACTGAGCATGACATAAGGAAAACATAAGGAAAGTGCAATGTTCTGAGACCCCTTTTGTCTAAGAGTTGGGCCCAGGAAGAGAAACAGGGGCTTCATGGGACAATTGTGATGGAAAGAGAGAATTAGCAAATCAGGAAGAAACTGAAGGGCATGTCAAAAGCAGTCTGAATAAGGA